TGAAACAATACCTGTGTAACGAATCATGGATCTGATAAATTGATTAGAACCCAATAAAGTGTTTGTGGCTCCATGGGGCAATAAAAATACACTTAATTACAATTATTGAACTACCGTTTTAGTTTAGAATTGGCTAATAGTGCGTGTAGAGAAAGAGAGTTTCATTTCGAAATCAATTTTCGTGCTCATTGTAGAGATGAGTATCAGTCATGAGCACTATGATAGTCATTCCTGCGGTGAAATTTAAAACATTCATATACAATTTTAATGGTCTAAATTTAAAATTTTTAACTAGTGATTTTAAAATAAAAAAAATTAAAAACCTTACAGTTAAGAGGTTACATTTATTTTGAATTATGTACCTATTAAAAAAATATTTTTAAAAATAAAATATTAAATATTGAATTTAGGCCATCTATATTAGATTTGAATGATTGATATTTGATAAGCAGTCATTGCGATAAGCACTAAAAGTGGTTCCGTTTGATTTCATGTTAGAAGAGTGTTCTTATAACAATAAAAATTAAATCTAGCAGAAGGGGCTATCTTTACTGAGAAAGGCTTTTATATTTAATACTTAATAGTGTTTTAATAAAATTGTCTTTAATAAAAAAATACCTATGCTCGGCAGGAGGAAAAAAAACTGGGAGGGAGAGAGGGAGGGTGCTTTTGTTGGTAATTGTTAACGGAAAGACTCAGTAACTCCCTGTCTACCACCAAACACGATGGCCATGGACGACCATGCCTAACACTCTCCGAAAGCAACCGAACAAGCTGATTAATCATTCTCCATTTTTAATTAATTAGATCATTTAAATCTTTTTGGGCTTAATTAAAAATAACCAACTATTTGTAAACTAGTGCAAGGCTGCTAACTGAATTATTATAATCAATCATTTTTCTTAGTTATTATTTTCGGGGATTTGACCTGATCTATATAGTCAGTTGTACTTACTTGATCACAATATATATAATAAAAATCGTAAATAAAGTTGAAAAATATAAATAGAGAACGAGAAGATGAAGCATAAAAAAAATAAGATTATTAAAAAAATTAAATGATAAATGAAGGATGTAATTAATTAAAGTGCTATTTCTGTCACGTTTTTTGTGCTGCGTCTTCCTGGTTTGTCTTGGTCTTCATTTCCAAATGCCCATATCACTATCCATTTCACTTCTCACATCATTAATTTACTCATATAATAACGACGATAATGTCGTTTCTTGAACGAGTGGTTAATCGGAAGAGTAAAAAAAAGTCACTAATAGTACGTAGTAAACTGCAATTTTTCTTGGTGAAGAAGCAAATTTTTTTTTTTAAAAGGGAAAAGGTGAAATTAAAGAAAGATAAAAATTGCCATTTGTATCATCTTATCTTTTTTGGCTTTTTTGAAAACGTCTCGTCTTATCATCTAACTTAAAGCTTCTGGATCATAGCCTTTTCTCCATCTTTTTCTTAGACTTTTACACGAAGCAATCTCTCAATTATGAGACTATAATTATGCATGCACATACGTAATTATCTCTCATTAATCCAAATTTGCATGAGATTATAGCAAATATATGTACTTGTGAGTCTATCCAGCCCGATGGCTCACAAATTAGTTTAGTTTAATAATTCAGAATCCGTATATATCCAAGGAGGGATTAAGAAACAAAAGGATGATTTCTTTCATTATTCTTTCAGGAAACATGTCAATGAAGAACAAAATTATAAATGAATGTCCATTAATTAGGATCGTCTAAACAAGAAAAGAAAAGTAGAGCAAAATTCTAAAATATCTCAATGAAGATAAAAGGAAAAAAAAATAAAAGTCTGATGTAAATTGAGTGGTAGATTCGCATAAAGATGAAGATTCAGTGTACTATGTAAGTTGCTTACAAAACTTGTCTTCCTCCTATTCCCTGGCTAGACTTTAATTAAGAAGCAGCCTGCGACTGACATGGCTTTTGATTTTGTTCAAGTTAATCAACAAGATTAAAAGAATACAGAAAGGATGTGCTGGCTACTATACTTCATATAAGAACTAGTTTGACTAATTTAAGTAATTTTAAAAAAGTAATTAAATTAGTTATTTATAATAAATAAGTGTTGTATTCTGTAAAATATCTTACTAGCTATGTGTATTAACTAGAATTACCATTTAATAAAATTTTTAATATGTGCGGTTATTATAAGGATTATTTTGAAAAATAGATAAAGATGAGCGATGAAGTAAATTAAAATATCATATTTAGAAATAAATTAAATGTTTTATATTAAAAATCGGAGGTATTATGTAATACTCCCTCCGTTCCTTATTATAAGAGACATTTGATGCTTATGGCATGTTCCTATATATAAGAGACACTTAAAAGTTGTCTCTACTTTTTGTACTAATTTTCTATTTTACCCATATTTATTGTCTCCAACTCACACACTCTCTCCCTCCTACTTCTCTTCTTTCAATAATTTAATTGTTCTCTCATGCTATCTCCCCTTATTAATGAGGGTATTTTTGGAAAAAAAATATTTTTTACACATTAGTTGTTCTTAACTAATTTTAACTACTTTTTAATCAACGTAATTTGGTTATTTGTCTCTATAATAAAGAACGGAGCGAGTAAGTAATAACAGAAAGAATATTCGGTGGTGTTAGAGCAGTATTGGCGGCAAGAATTAAGGAATAAAGAGTGTGATTAGGGCTCAGTGAGAGATTAACTTGAAGAAGACGCTAGTAGGCTTTGAGACGCGTTGAAGTCACAAATTGGTACGCGTCCACCTCCACCTCCTTATTAACAACGCGTAAGCCTCTTCACTACTTCACATACTATTCAACGCTTTCCTTAACTTTATCACCACCACGTACTCTCAAACTGCCTTCAACTATACCATTTATTATTATTATTATTATTATTATTATTAAGAATTACAATAAAGTTTTAAGAAAAGAAAGTACTAGTTACTAATAACTCTCTGTTTATGTTATCATTCAGATTTTTTTAAGTAATGATATTCTTTATTTAGGACTAAAAGCAATTCTCTGTAGTGACGTAACTGTAATCTGCATTGGTCCAAAGCCACGTTAAGCAATCCCCATCTGCCCTTGCCTAATCGTTTCACACAATTTTGGTCCCAAGAAACTTAATTGGATCATCTTGGTCTGATATATAAAATACGTGTGCAATTATTGTGGCCTGTTTATAAATCAAGTAAAAATTAATTTATTTAAGTCCAAATTGTTATGTTAGTTGGGTGCATTAATCTATCAAATAAGTATGAGGCGGCGCACATTAATTATTTTCCCGTTCAGTTCAAAAATATTTTTCTGATGCTATTTATAAGGTACTTCTAGCATGTTTTATATAGATCAAGAAAAATTTTAAACTTCATTAACTCTCATTTAAAATAAAATAACTTTTTGACTTTATTTCTATTTAATATACATTATATCTTATATAAACAAAGTCCATACAATAATAAATGATGGGTAAAATTATATATCCATACAAAAAATTTCTCTCAGTGCTCTATAAATAGGATCAGAGGAGTAGATCTTCATGAAATTACTATTTCCCCATTAGAATGTGCTCGTTTTGTTTTAATTTCTTAATGGATAATCATATGGTACACTGAAGTTGGCTTTGTTTGATACTTTCCAGATGCCAAGGGAAAAATAAAGCAGACTAAACTACTAAACTATTAGTAATAAATAGATATCTAGTTAATGGCCTATGAGTATTGAGGATGAGTACAAAGACAAAGACTTTTGGATATATAAATTAGTGGGTAAGTATAATTTCGCCAACCCAACAAGTAGTGAGAGTGTCCCTAATTAAGCCAAATGCTCAAAGTGTTTTATTTGAAATTAAACTTGGTATAATGATTCCAACATGTTGATTAGAGACAGCAACCACATGGGAAGGTTTTGGTTCAACCCACCTTCCCCATTACCCTAACGTGCCTATATATGCCTCATTAATAATTTATATACTTTTTCTTTGCTTTATCTTTTGATTAATAATTGTTCCAATCTGTTTAGATTCCATTTTTACTACTAATGTAAAGCATAATAATTAAGTTACCATAATTACAAAAAAAATGAATGAATAATGCTAACAAGTGGTGACAATTGACTAGCAATATAATGGAATTGTTCTTTGTTAATGTTGTTGGTATATTAATTGAGGTTCACGCGGCTGCTGAATTTTCGTTTTTTTTTTTTTGGAGAGAGAAATTTCCACAAGATTTGGTTATTCATATTGAAAAAGACTTTGACTTCATCTAAGCTTCCATGGTCAATATTCATCAATAACTTTATAATGCCAACCCATCATTAATAGGTATCCCTTTCCTCTTTTAATTTTTCTCCCTTCCTCTTTTTTGAGAGAAATATCATTGGGTCAATAAATAAATAAATAAATAATTTCAAGTCCTGTTTATCATTTAATAGCGTGTTGTTATTTGCTAATTGCCCACGAAAGGGGCAAATTCTGAAAGTGGAATATTGGCTTAAATATACTTTTGCTCAGAACATAAAAGGTTGTTCTTATGGCATGGGGGTAAAATCATAAATTCATAAAGTTATCTGAACTTAGTGGCATCCTTTATGTAGTCATTCTCATTCTTAACATAGATTGCTGTTTTTCTCCCAAAGACCGTACATTTGGTTAACCGATCTTTGTACTTTTCAAGTACACAAAAGGGGGGGAAAAAGGAAAATCCGATGTGTTTTCTTCCTCATTGGTCCCTGTGACTGTAAAAGAAAATATTCACTTCATTCTTTTGCACTAACGAAAGTGATTCTTTCCTCTTGGCTGCTACCTAAAGTGAGGTTCTACTAATCCAGATTATCTTGATGATCTTCTGAAGAAAAAAAATAATTAAATTGGTTTATAATATTTATATTATCGTTCTTCTCATTAAAAATAAATAAATGAACATTTAAAAATGATTAGTTAACTATTGCATGGGTGGGGGTGAGGGGAATCTCAGACAATAATGAATGAGAACGTGAATGTAAATAAAAACGAGAGCGGTAAATTTATTTGATGCCAAAAAAGCAATGAACAAATATGTCTGTACAGAGAGTAACGAGAAGAAGCCACAAGTGAAAAAGAAATCAAAGTCTGTCTGATCCTAATCAATCAATAAAGAAACTGATATTACAAATCAATTCATCAATTCATTCACTGTATTCTAACACAACAACCCTATCAATTCTGCAACAACGCAGACGACGGTGGCTTTACATCGTCTGCTTCACTCGGAAAAAGCACCCGACTTCTCTTCTTGCCGGCTCCTACCGGCAACGGACTCTCCACCTCTTGCTCTACGCCCATCTTCATCCCAGATTCGTCTCCGAATCCTGCCGGGGATAAGTCCATCAGCGGTGCCGGCAGGTTTAGGTCGAACCCGCGGAGGCTTACAGTAGACGCAGCGCCTCCCTCCGATGAGGACACACCGGCGCCGGCGCTGCTGCTGTTTGCGTTGCCGCCGTCGTAGTGGCATCTCTTGTGTCCACCCAAGGCCTGACCGGTAGGGAAGACCTTGTGACAGATGGAACACTCGTGCATCCTTCCTGTGCCAGCACCAGAGGAAGTGGAAGCGTTGTCGGCGGCGGTGGAAGCGTTGGCGGTGGACTCCGAGGAGGACTTACGGTGGCTCGCCTTGTGGCCCCCGAGCGCTTGGTAAGAGGAGAAGACTTTATTGCAGACGGTACACCTATGAGAGGGCTTCACAGGATTAGGAGGCGACGGTGAAGGAGAAGGACGCGGCGGAGAGGAGGAGGAGGAGGCGGCGGCGTTGTTGTTGTGGCCGCTTTGGGCGAGCATTATGAGACAGAGAGCAAGGTACTCTTCCTCAGAAGGAGGGTTATTGGAGTCAAAACGAGGTCGTTTGGTTCGCTTGCCCTTAGCCCAGTGAAGATCAAGCTCCTCGTCTTCTTCCTCGTGCTTGTAGGTGAAAGAAGTCGGAGCAGTAGTGGGAGAATTGAGAGCCTCTAAAGCCATTCTTATTGGAGAGAGAGTGAAGGGTAAGAAGTGTATCGGGAATCTGGAATTAGAAAGAAGAGTGAATGAGGAAGTGGGGGTGTGAAGCAAATGAATTTATAGTAGGAGAAGCTGAACAAATGAAGGAAGGAAGCAAGCAAGAAGATAGTAGGTGGAAGGTTGTGTTTTAGAGAGAGAAAGAGAGAGTGAAGTGGGTCAAATAAGGAAGAGAGAGGGGGGGAGAGAGAGAAGACTTTTTCCAAGTCAAAACAAAGGTACGTGAAGGGGGTCTGCGTTTTTTTAAAACACACGGATACACCCAAACACGAAATGAGAACGGGGAAGGGAAAGTCAAAATTCAATTGTTTGGATGCGTGCAAAACACGGTTTTTTTTTTTGTGGGATTACTTCGCGAAGGAAAGAAGGAAGGAAGCTGAAGGGAAAGGAAGGGAAGGGAAGAAGAATGTTGTTTGTTTGCGTTGGAGTTACTTTGTGGTTAATTAAGTGAGCTATCTCTCACCTACGTCTTTCTTATTTCAACGTAACCTTGTGACTTGTTCCGCAAATATCTCCCCTCCTCCCAGCATTTTTGTTCCTCACTCAACTACTACTACTTTTCGTCCATAACCAAATCAAAGCTCAAACCAAATCAGCAATTACCCAAGAGGCGTCTCTAATTAATATATAATTTGATTCTTCAAATAACCAGGTTATTGAGACAAAGCTGATAATTAACGAGCTAAATCGTCCGCGGCATGATGATTACGAGTTTAATTTTGTTTCAAAATTAAAGTTACTGTATATAATTCAGTGGGTAAAATATAGTGTTAGCTTAATTAGACTAATCTGAGGCTTGTCTTGTGGTGATATGATTAGAAAAGTAGAGGAGGCGGAAGGGAACGGTATAGAGTTAGAGTCATGCGTGAGGGAAGACTAACGTCACGCGCCTCAGTCACGCCCTGTTTGGCGGTGCCCACTCTCTTAATTCTTTTAATCACTGGTTGGCAGTCTCACATTTGGCCACTTGGGGATCCAGCTAATTCCTCCAACATCATCCTTACTTGCCCCCGCGCCCCCCCTTTATTTATTTAATCTTTTAAAAAATTTATACAGAAAATTTAAAAAAAAAAAAAAAAACCTTCATGGCATCTCTCTCTAGCATTCTCTAATAATTGATCCAGGTTACCAGGTATTCTAATTTCCCGATTTATGGTGGCAATTATATTGAGATTTCCGTCTTTATATGTTTTTATTTAATTTAAAGTAAAGAAACGAAGAGTGTGGGCGTGAAGAGAGGAACAGGACATGAGCCGTAAGGGAGGGACCATGTGGCGACACGTGGCGGTGGAGATCTCTGAGTTCCAGTTAAAATACTCGCTGTTCCACGTGGGGGCTAACCGACAAGCCGTTGATAGTTAATGATCCACTGATTTGCCTCAACAGTGCGGCTTACTCCTTTCATCCTCATCCGGCACGAAACATTACAAGCGAGATATATTTTCTTTAAAAAAAAATTAAAAGCCGTCCAAATCGGCGGTGTAGCTGACATGGTGCCACGTGGAAAGTTCTAGATGCTTCACCCTGACACGATTCAATCCTCTCACGAATTTTCTCTCAAGCAAGTGACCATTCTAGTGGTTGTTCCTTCTTGCACTATCCATGGATGATCTCATCGTGGTTATTCTTTACGTAGCTTTATATCTTTTCGGGGAAAAACCGGGGCGATCCATCTTTTTATGTATTCATGTTAAGTTGGATAATCATTGGCAAGAATTTTTTTTTTTTTTTTCAAACTTATCTTTTTCACACCTAGTGATGAACTGAAACAAGTTAGCCAGGGAAGAAACTTGAATTATCGCTTACCGAGAATATGCGCAGCATCACGTAACGAGACGAGACATCTAGACAACTTTTCTTTTGTTATTGGTTTGTCGGTCCCTTAGCTTAATCTGGCCTTGGCTAAATATTGGAGTTGCTTTCTCGTGGATATGGCTTCAATTTATGACCCTATGGCCTGGAAACTACCACATTGAATTGGCGACTTAAATTTAGGCGCAGTGTGCACAAAAAACGAAAAGTGAGATTTAATGGATCCGTTCCAAACTAATACTTTGAGCATTGATTAATTCTATTGGCAGGTAAACCACCACATGTAATAGTGAGGACAGGCATCTCACTAGACCGGACTCATCAAGTCAACTTTTACAACATCAGTATCTCCATGAATGTGGAGGTACCGGGCAAACAGTAGAAAAGCTAAAATCTTGCCACAATTGGTATCTAGAAATTGGCAGCACAAAATTAGTTTACATACCCAAGTCACAAAGAATTGGGAGAAGTAGCCAGAATAATCCGTAAAAAGAAAATAATTACTATATTCAATATGATCATCAGGAATCACGCTGGCGGATTCGGATAGACTTTGGGTTTTGGTTTGACCTCTATCTCATTTACACTGCGTACATAGATGGCATCTGGTTCATGCCTGCACAAGATTACGCAAGAGGTTAGAGTTACAAAGTGTTCTTTTTCATTATTATTATTATTATTAGTTCCAAGAAATAAGTTACGATGTGTTCAGAGCACAATCTCTTCAAATATTTTTAATTAGGGAAAAACATGTTGAGTACCAGTACTCAGGTTGAAATACGTATTGGGGGGGGGGGGGAGCGGGGGAGTGTCACACAGAGAGAGAGAGAGAGAGAGAGAGTACTGTTTAGCTCCCTCTTCAAATGTGTAGCTTGATGCAACAGCCAGGAGGCGTCCATCTCTACTAAATGAAAGTGCTGCAATGCTAGTTGGATATTTTGAGTACTGAAAGAGAAAACGACAATTCAGCAATTCACTCAGATAAAAAGTAGAAATAAATATTCAAAAAATCAGTGAAATAACCAAAACCTGGTATAGCCTCTTCTTGTTGTTTCCATCCCATACATTTACAAAACCATCACAACCGCCAGTTGCAAACGTACCATATCTGCAGGTAGAATCATACATAAAGCACCTTGTTAAGCACTCCAAGATATCTCATTGTGAACAACTCCATCATATCCCAGTATGATCAAAAGGGCAACAGACACATTTTCAGCCTTTATAACCTAGTATAGTTGAAACTTCAATGTAAGCCTAAAGACACAACTAAGGCGGGTATTTTAAAGATGCCGACTCATTTCAATTAATCAATATAAAGCTTGCCTCTTTCTTTATTAATTAGTAAAATCAGTTTGCCCAAATTTTAGTCAGCTGAATTTCACAGTCGATCATGGTACCATCTGTCAGCGTTCAGTTTCAATGTGGCTAATAGTTCCAAGCATACTTGCAAGTATTTAATTTCCAATTAACATCATGGTCATGCCCATCATTATTCAGATTGTATTAAGGACCTTCATCAATTGAAGTCTTATAAAAAGAAACTGGTTCCTCGATGAAATATCAAGGTATTTCCCCTTTGCACCTATTGCATCGTGGTAACCCTTGGTTTATAGTCAATGGACCAAAAATTACATATATAACTTTTGCACTCTGCCTCATAGCTTAAGTAAGATAAACAAGACCAAGAAATGAAGAACACTATCATACTTACATGGGGTGGAATGCTATGGCATTTACAGGATAAACAATGTCCCTTCCAGCTTCTGATTTTCTGTGACACTTAAAAGCATATCTGCAGGAAACTTGGAAGTCACTAACCGAAAAGTTGTTTGAAGAAGGTGAACGTATGCTATTCTTGAATGAAACCAACAAAATATATCATAGATACTGATAAGAGGCGAGCAGAATATCAATATCATATCAGGAGAACAAAATCCATGAATAGAGATAGGAAAGGAAAAAATCAACTTTTTGGCCTGGCTAGCCTCTGAGAGATCAAAAAATTCCATTGCAACTCGCCCTTCAACTGAACTAAGTGCATATCCTGCATGGAGAAATCAAATGAGAACCGAATGCATCAGATCATATATAAAGAATAAAAATGACAAACTATCAGTATGTCATCAGCTGAATTTCATTATATGACACATAACATGAACATATAAAGAGTCCTATTTCCTTCATTCATTTGCACATGGTTGTAGCATTCCTCAGCATATTCAATGTCAGTACTTTAAAAAAGGTTAAAGCACGGTATATAACAGAAAATATATGTCGTTTACTCAAGGGAACTCAATGAGAATTCGAAGACAACTTAAAACAATTTACCCAAAAAAAGCCCAAAAGTTCAAGTAAATACCTGTTCCATTTGGGTAACAGCGCACGCATCTGGTTTGATATTTCAATGAAGATTCCCTCCGTTGTTCAGGCTGAGACATATTCCTCAAATCATAAACATTAACGTGTCTTCCAGCTGTTGCTACAACCAGACGATGCCCAACCAAGGAAAGAGAGTAGACACGCTCAGGTTGTGGGTATGTCCCAACAAGTGTGCGCTCTTGTCCACTTGCTCCTCTAGGGTCCCAACATTTCAGGGTTTTATCCCAACTACCAGTGATCAATTGCCCTGTCATAAAAACAAATAAGTGGGATACGATGACTTTATTGAAGCCGCACATCATAACAATGCCGGGCATCAACTATAGAACAATAATTCCAAAGAAAGGGCAGGATAATATTATATAAGCAAACAAAACATTCATGAGATGAGACATCAACATAGCAACAACTGTTTGATAATTTGACATTATAAACCATTTCAACAATGGTGATGGTCCTCAAGGCCATATAGACTGCATCTACATGACATTACAAAAACTTTGAAGATGTCTAGATTGACTTTCCAACTGATGTTTTAGAGAGTATATAATCCAAAATTTTATGAGCAATATCTTAAATTGCTACTTACTATTCTGACAGGTTTCTGACTAGAGGCACATTTGGTTTAGCTGAGAAGAGAACTTTAAATTCAATATGCATGAAACTAGCATTCAAATAAGCCAAGGGTGTGAAAGAGTGATACAGGATCATTAGCGAATAATCAAAATTTGTTCTTGTTATTGCTAACTGTCAAATCATTTCAAGAAAAGCTTCTTTCACTACGGATCTCATCTCAGCTACATACAAGTATAAAAACTAAAAAGTAGAGAAAACTAATGAGATAAGGTAAGCAGTATTAGTAAATCCTTAGTGGATTTTGACGGCTACAGTAACAGACCTGCCGCATAAGAGTACTCTACACAACGAACAGGTGCATCGTGCCTTCCTAGAATATCCTCCTTATTAGAGCTGAAGACTAACCTGGAAGAAATCATACAGTTAACATCAACTCAGGTCCGATGACAATAACATTACAAGCTGGACACTAACTACTTTTTTGCAATGTTCACCTGTGTTGAATAATTAAATTTAAAATCAACTTAGGTTAAGCTCAAGACGATAGAAGACAGACTTATAGCTTATGGCAGTGCGCAGGCAACCTGGACCACACGCAAGGATGCCTGCAGCAACTCGGACGAGCAACCTAGACCTACACAAGGCTGTGTGCAGGGAACCTCTACGTTGCACAAGGTTGCTACTGGGCAACATGCACTTGTGCAAGGTTGCGTGCAGACACCCTGAACACAAGCAACTTCTTTTTTTGACGGGATATAAGATAAGCAACTTCAATTATGAGGAGACAAGTATGCTTAATGCTCCCTCTTTTTCCTTTTGTGTACCCCGGGTAATTTATAAGGAGTTAATTGGCTTGGACAGACGTAGTGATGTTCTCTGTTTTGTTTCTATTGTAACAATATGGTCAACCATAGCTTTTCATTCCAAATAAATAACATTGTGCCTAGAGTACAAGGATTTGCATTATTGACAAGTGACATGAATACTATCACTAAAGTCACGAGTGTACCAACACTCATAGTAAGCAGAGGAAGAAGCTAGAATAAGCAGCGTTCATTGTCTAAACAAACACTTACAGATTGAACCTGCTTCTCAGAAATCAGAATCATTCTTAAGCACATTCATGTAGCTTAAACGCATTGCAAAGGTCGCAACAAAACGCTACTTCAAGCTAATCAAGCAACTCGACATGAGGAGTCAACCGTGAACCACTAACAAGTGAGGCCTCAGCGCATTTCACACAACATATCTCGGGAACTAAGAAGAAAATTCAAAATATCAAAAGAAACAGACTCAGCAATAAAGAAAGAAAGAAAGAAAAAGACACTCACCGCCTCACTGTATTGTCGGCACCGACGCTAAATCCTGAAGAATCATCATGGAAACAACAATCAAGCACAGGTCCACCGTGCATGAACTCTCCTCTGAGCACATTGGCACTCGCATCATACAATCGTACACTCTAATCAGATATTAACCAAAGCTCAGGCTCAGCGTAACGAACTACATTGTTAATTAGCAAAACAGTAAAAACGACAAGTAAGCAGAAATGGAGAGCAGGCGCACACCTTATCCCATGAGGAGACAAGCAGGTGATCACTATGGTTGGAGAACCGAAGATTTGAGATGCCGTCGGAGGGTGGGTTCGAGAGTTCTCGGCCGGGGGCCGGCGGCGGTACCACAGAAGACATGTTGGGATTGATTAGCAATCTTAGGGTTTTTCTACGAAGAAGAAATTTCAGTCTCAGACCAAAGAGCGAAGATGAGAAGGAGGGAAGTGATTTGAAATTTTGACGTGAACTTGATGGGAAGACGCCGAATAGTTCAAATTTTTAAGGTCTTGTGGATATTCAAATTCAAATCAGGGACGTCCATTATTCCCATTTCCCGGTGGTAGCACCATCTTGGAAGGCCATTAACACGGCGTAGTCGTTTTGACCAATGGACGACATAAATAGATTATAATAAATATTGCACGAATTTATTCCAACGCACTTAGAGGATATCCAGGTCAGGCTGAATCTAACGATCTGCAGATGTCATTTCCGCGTTTCACCCTAACCTAACTCAATTTTTTAAAATAAAACTATGTGATTCGATTATGAAAAACAAAATAATTGTGTCCTTTTGAGGAATTGTCATAATCCAACCTGATTTGAGCTGATGAGGTCAAACAGTAACTGCCAGATTAACTACTCCACCAGTCTTAATGAAAAACTCAATTGTTGAGATGCCATTGATCCTAAATATAAAATATACTTTTCATATTTATTAATTTGTTTAAATTATTTTTATTGATATTCTCTCAATCATAACAGAGTAAGAAAAGGAGAAATGATACTAAGAAAAATGATTATAGTATTTAAAAAAAATTATATTATATTTTTATAATTAACTCTAATTAAATTAATTAAATAAGTCTTATATAAAGATTAAAAAAATATGTTAGATGCGACTAACTTTTTAGGCCAAAAAAACGAAAGATACGACTAACGTGTTTCTCCACACAAACATAAATTGCAACTAGTTTTAAGAGATATAAATCGATACTCATGGACAAAATAAGACTTTTGTTTTTTAATATATAACTGATCGTTTTATATTTTATTTATGAAGTCATTTTTATTATACTAAAAGGAAACTAATACGCTAGATCTTTTTGCCCCCATTAGGCACAAACCATTGACCATTTCGTACGCTCGCAATAAAAGGTTTTAACGAGAATTGAAATGCTATTCATTTGCAAATTGTGTCGCTGTGACTCATTTGATAGTTGTCCCCCTCTTCTTAATGGAAAAAAAACATATGAAATAGTAGTACTTTCCCTTTTTAATACAGGATCTAATTGTTAAGTTAATCTTGATACTAAATAATTAGAAACAAAAAAATTTTAATCATAAACATAAGACTTTTTTTTTTATTAATTTTTTTCTAAATTACTGTTATGGATGTTTCCTTAACCATAATCAAATAAGTGAAAGAGGGAGGATAATAAGAAAGATAATTATGGTGTTTTAGAAAAACATATCATATTTTTATAATTAATTAATTTTTTAATTTAATTAAATTAGTTAAATAGTTCTTATATTAAGGATGGTGGGGTATTTAATAAGAGAAAGAAAAAATTGTATAGAGGAATAGAGAATTGAAAAGAAGAGATTTAAGAGAAAATATTTTTCATTCACTCTTTTTTTCAACATTTTTTATTCACTTCAAAAGTATCAAATTCAGGATACATATCCTCCATTTATAAGTATTTATAATTTAGAAGTCTCATAATACTAAATGCGAAATGGTAGGGCATGAGAAAACACAAATTTCATGAACATAAGTGATAGAATAGATTACAGGAATTATGAGAGCCAGATTTCTTTATTAAGAAAGTTGAAGGGAGATGTGTGGCAATAGACATTCACACAAATAAATATTTTATTCTTTTTTGCCAACAAATAAATATTTTATTCATAAACTATAATCATCTCAAACTACGGCCACGGCCGCAATCCAGGTGCTCATTGATAGTTTGGACCAATTTATAACCCGGCCCAAATAATTTTTTAAGCAGTTTTCTGCACCCGTTTAGGAAAAATTTGGACAAAAAAGTGTTGCGGATCTCGGTGGCAAAAGGAGAACGGGGTTCTTCGTAGTGAGCTCAGCGTATGAACTGCAGTACCAGTGAAGAAGATCATTAGAACAAAATTTCTTGAGTGTTTTATTTTTTGGTTCCTGTGATTATGCTTATTCGATCTCGCACTTTGCTGTAATACCTAGGAAATTACTTTCAAATCCAGCTGAATCATTGTGAGGTTCTTTTGTTTTAATCTCTTCTGATTTTAGCGGTCAATGCAATGGTGGTCTGCAAGTGTCGAAAGGTTCGCCTGTTTCTCTCTCACGTCGCAATTTTTTTCTTGATGATTTTACTGTGAATTCGTTTGGGGTAATTATGATTGATATATAAACCAATGAGTAGATCGGATTGGTATTGTAATTTCAGATCACGCGTGATCTGTGAGCTTAAGCATTAGTTTGATTTCCATGCAAATGCGTTTTTGAAACGGAAGCTTGAGCTTATAATTATTGGATTTGAGCTTAGAAGTAATCAGTAAGGGCACATCGTTGTTGTGAATTTGGTTTATAGCTCTGGGGAACTATCTTGTTTCTATTGTCAGGCCTTTTGGTCAAAGCTGATCTTGTATCCTTTACACGCACCGTTCAATTGAATTTGCATACGAAGTACTAACTTATGGGTTGGGTTTTCTTCGGTGCACAGGCTACTAAGTTGTATTGCTTCGTGCACAAAGTTCCTGTCTGCGGAGAATGTATCTGTTTCCCTGAGCACCAAATCTGCGTGGTAAGTTTGTGTTGTTAAGATTGTTCTTCAATGATTGCTAAGATGGCCCGGCTGCATTCTCTTCCTCCTAGTTATCTTCCTCTCTAGATTTGTTTGAACTTTGTTCACCGCATATACATTATCAAGGTTTTGTTCTTATATTGTGCACCTGGACCTAATTTTATTCTTTTCTTAATGTTTTCTTGGAGACTAATTTAAGAAGGAAGAGGAACTATTAAGGTTATGCAAGGACAATAAGGATGTACTGAGCTTAAGCCTTGTTTTTGTGTCATCATTCTTAGGTCCGGGCTTACTCTGAATGGGTTATAGATGGCGAGTATGATTGGCCGCCTAAATGTTGCCAATGTCAAGCTGTTCTAGAAGAGGGGTCAGAATCTCAAACAACTCGACTGGGTTGCTTGCGTATGTCATTTTGCTTTCACACACACACATTTTTTACAAAAATCCTCCTGAACACAGACTGAATTATGTAACATCGATTCAAATTTTCTATAGATGTTATACACACAAGTTGTTTGCTCTCGCATATCAAGAGCTTTCCTCCGCATACTGCCCCAGCAGGATATGTGTGTCCCTCATGTTCCACTGCGGTAAGATTTAGCTTAAAATGATTTCTGTTTCAGGAATAAGATTGATTTTTGGTTGGTAGTAGCGTAATAGCCTGTATACTCTTCACTCAAAGTTAGCATGCTGATTTTTCCCCCTAGTTCTGTTCATACTTATATGGCTCTGGCTAGTGGTTCGAACATAAAATATGTACACACAGGGAAAAGAAAGGAAGCCTAATGATAACTTGCAGATCAAGTTTTTTTTTTCCTCCCCTTCATTTTTACTTTTTCCTTTTTTCCTCCCCCCCCCCCCCGGATAAACCAAATCAAATAGTTCTATCTATAATATAAAGTGTGAGGTCATCAGCTCTATCAATTTAGAGAAAGCGCATAATTAAATAGAAGCGCAGGGTGTTTGAACAATTAGCACTTTGTTAGCTACAAATTGCAATTGTCTTCTTATATTCCCTTGTATGGTAATTTGATTTTGCATATACTTCCACATTTATGAGATCTCTTCTGCCACCTTTTGGCTGTTTCATGGTCCCCCATTCCAAACGAAATTTTATTTGTTGCGTGCAGATATGGCCTCCCAAAAGTGTGAAAGATTCTGAATCTCGTCTTCATTCAAAATTGAAGGAAGCTATTGTGCAGGTATATGAATTAAGTACTGATAATGTTTTGAGGATTCATTTTCTGATTTCTTAACGGGGATAATACTAGGGTAGCTTTCTTGATGTAATTGCACAAACATGGGATGCTTACTTTGTGATTCTATTATGGTTATAGATACAAAATGAGTTTGCAGTTTGAAAGAAGGGGTAGAAGATTACAATATGACCAGCCAGAAATCCGCAAAAAGTGATATGTTCAGTTTGGTGTGTATGGATCTGGGATTAAAACTTTTGACCTATAAAGGACATGATCCGGAACACACCATTATTTTTCGATTGTAGTCAAACCACTCACTATAAACTGCTGTTTCCTCCTGTTTCTTTTTTTTTCTCCCCGAAAACTAGGATATTACTAGTTTTACCTCCATGCTCATCTCCTTTGGTCAGCAATCTCTTTGGTCACCTCATGGTAGATGCCATCATATAGCATCTTGAATGTTCATTCAAAGTCCATATTCGTTTATATGCAGTTGGGCATGCTCAGTATTTGTGTTGTAGCACTGATCCATGATTGCAAAAGTAAATTATTCCCACCTTTTTTTTCTTCAAAACTGCCCTTAGATTTAATGATACAATTTTGAGTTTATGTAGTTTTTTTTTCCCCCTTTCCGTGTTAAAGTGGTCTGTCATTCTCTTTATTTGTCTCTCTGTTTTTTTCTTAATTGTATAATCAATATATATTGAATATTTATTGCCTGCTTTTTGTGCAGACTGGTGTGGAAAAGAGTCTTTTTGGAAATCATCCGGTTTCATTGCCAGTCACAGAATCTCACGGTCCTCCTCCAGCATTTGCTTCAGATCCATTGATTGATAAGAAAAATAATGAAATATCAGACTCCGTTGAAGGATATTCGTCTCCACCTGGAACAAGGCCAAAACTTTCAGTGACTGATATTGTGGAAATAGACAGTCCTAATTCAGCAGGAAATTTCATTAAGACACCGAGTCCTGCTCCTGTAAGAGAATTTTACTCCCAGAAATTGCATCTAAAATCATTATATTTGGGTGAACTTATCTTGTTTGCATTCACCTGCCCTTTTGCTGATTAGATCTAAATTTTTGCTCCCTTTTTTTTTTTTTGCCTTCTATTGTGAATCTTGTGCTGTTTCAAATACGCATCTTTTATCCCTTATAGTTTTCCCCCATCATTTTTGCGAATAATGCAGCCTGGTGCTACCACTAGGAAGAGTTCTCTCCATGCTGAACGGCAAAATTCTGAAATTTCATATTATGCTGATGATGAAGATGGGGATCATAAAAAGTATACAAGAAGAGGTGATATATTCTTTACAAAAGTTCGTCTTTAAAATGTATCAATA